GAGGTAGCCTATCCGCGGGCGGGGCTCGTGCCGCAGGTTGTGTGACTTTGGGTTTGACTTGCCTGGAGATGAGCTAATCCCGCGATATAATAGACTCCTGGGAGAAAGGAAAATGGCTGCGGCGCTATCTGCGTCGCCATGGGGACCATCGCGGGCGAGGCGAGAGCCTGGAAAAATACAGCCTTTGTCGGCGGCGCGTGTCACTCACTGCGCGAGGTACCACAGGCAGCAGGGCTCGGGTCGATCTTACCTCAGTCCAGAGAGGGGAGGTTCTGAAACCAATGGCAGGACTTGCCCCCTGAAACGGGTTAGGATCCCTGGGTGTTCTCAAACTCCTCGGAAGAACCCTGTCCCTACACACCCGCACACCCCATTCTCTGTCACAAGCAGTGACGTTACAGGGCGCATCCTGGTCCATCCATTGTGGCGTCTATCACAGCCCAACACACCATTCTAATCTGGCTATTTCTTTCCTAACCTCAAAGGGGGCCCCAGCTCGTGTGTCCATCCCTGAGCCTACACACGCAGGCTCAGGGACAGGCCCAAATGCCACCTTTATCCTTTACCCCTCTTGCAGTGCACGCGGGCACACCTGGACACACATTCACAAGGACAGACCACCTCACGCAGATCCGTGCACACCCCAAGGCACAGTCACAGGTAGGCATGTATGTCCCTAAAATACAGAGTAGGGTGGGACACCTGCAGGCACACGACATTCAGGAGAGTAACACACTCTTGCCGGAATATGCACATGCATATCTGCCTGAGTGGCAGGCGACACTAACTCCTGTGTGCACTCCTAAACAGCTTCCTTGAGGGCAGATACTTTGAGGCACTCACAATCTGCACATCCACTACACTTATACACAAAGCTTGCACATCCACTCCTTCACGCACGTGTTTAGCTCTCCACCGCCGTGACATTCATGCTCACACACTCACGTGCAAAATCCTTTCCTCTGTGCATCCTCAGCCTCATCTCCAGGCACTCACAGAACGCACACTCACCACCCGTGTGCGCATGGGCTTGCACAAGTGCACTTTCTTGTAGCATACTTGTCTGACATACCCGCATGCACATGAACACCGTTGTTTGTTCAGTGCCCTTCCACTGGCACACCCACATGTCCAACCAAACAGGCCGGGCACACCGGGGGCCCACACGCGGGTCCTTCCCTCTCCCCAACCCCCACCTCCATCCTCCCATCACCCCGGCAGTCTAGCGCTGCCGCCACTGGGCGTCTGGCGTGCCCCCCGCGTACTGCTATCTGCCTGCCCATCAGCACGCGGATCTGCGGTGGTAAATGATGCATTCGATGGCGGGCGCATTTGTTGTGCGCGCTCTGAAAGGGCTCTGATAATCTGGAAAGCAGAGATAAGGAACACCATTTATTCCGCGGCACTTTGGAAACAATTCCCAGCCCTGTACAACCCCATTCTCGGGCAGCCTCCGGCAGCCAGGCAGATAACGATTGGCTATTCATTATCTTCGCCGGGAACAAAGATTAGCCGGCCGAGATGAAAAATTACCCGGGATAGCGGCGCAGACCCGCAAGGACCCCCCCGCCCGCCTTCCTCACCTCCGAAACCCCACCCAGCCCGCTGGCTCTGCACTCACACCCTCCCGGCCCGCCCGCCACCTGGCACTCGGTCTCCCATGCTATCGTTGGCGCTAGGCATTGCTGACCCCCTGGCTGTCTCTGTATCTCAGTTTGTTCATCCTGCCCAGACCACCTCCATGTCTCCACTTTTCCCTTCTTCTTTCTGGAGCCCTTTCTCCTCCCCATTGCCCTATTGTCTTGTTTCCCTCTCTCTGTCCACATCTCTTTCTGGTTAACATTTTCACTGCTTTTGTTCCTATCTGTCTGACCCTTTTTAATGCTTTTTAGTTGTTTGTTCCTGTCTTGTCCCTGAGTGCCCCCACCCCATCCCTCTACCCCCCACCAGTGTCTCTGGCCCTCTATCACTCATTTTTAAAAGATCTATCCTTGGATCTTCCTGTCTCATCCCTCTTCACTGGGCCTCCATGTTTCTCAATCCACCCACACCCCTTATGGCCCAAATCTCCAGGCCTCACACCTCCTGACCTCTCAAAGCTATGTTCCTGACCAAAGACCAGAGGATGGGAGGCTCCAGCCAGCTCTGGCAAGCCCAGTGCAGCAGGGAGCTGGCAAGTGGTATGGGGTGATGTAAGACCTGGAAGCCCCCCCCCCCCAGGAAACAAAATAGAACTACAATACGCCCTGTGGATACTTGGGCCCTGCTAGATTCATGGAGGGTTTGCTCCTGTACCCCAGGACTGGCTCCCCTGTGCCCTTTCCCAATGTGTCTGGGTGCCCTGGGAAAGGGTGGTCGCACCTCATTAGAGCAGTTATTCAACATGGTGCTGGTGAGATAAGCCTTATCAACTCATCTCCCCCTCCCACAGGCAGACAGAAAGTGCCCTGGTAAATGACATCCTGAAGCTCCACTGCTTGCCTGCCCTACTGGTTAGGAAAGGTGCAGATGGCGGATCATCTGAGAAGACACACATACTATGAGTCACGTAGGGACACACTTCTCCACAGACATAGACACAGGGTAACGCTAGGAAGAAAAACACACGTAGTTCAAAAATATATTCATACACACAGATCACCACTCCCCAGATACACAAACCCATAAGTTCATACATGGAGCTATACACAGACATGCAAACAACTTTGATACACTCTCCATCTTCCCTGGATATACACTATCCATCCTCCCACCATCCGTTCAAAGATACAGTGATACATACCCATACCTATGCTGTTAAAGACTCTCTCTCTCTCTCTCTCTCTCTCTCTCTCTCTCTCTGATTCACAGACACACACTGCTACTGACTGACCCACACAAAGACACACATCATTAACACTTAGAAATACCCATTTCCCATTACATGATTCAAGGACACAATGATCTCACAGATACACAACATCAGGAACATATATCCAGTTCCACAGATACACTCTTCCATGTGCACATGTGAGGACACACTCTGAAATAGCCACACACAATGCACAAATTCTCAGGGACCTCACATGAATCCTCAGGGAGCCACAATACACAGACTTGCAATGCACACGCTCTTGGGGACCCACAGAAAGAAATGGATGGATTCATATATTCAGTTTTGCAGATTTTCCATGTACTCACAAATGCTCACACACACACACACAGGCACTCAGGACAGATATTCTCCCACATGCACATGTAACACAGTCATCACCGGCTTCAAAGGAACACCCTCAGACAGCGGGTTCCCACAGAGCTGGGGTGGGGCAGAGACACCCTTCTTCAGGGCACACCTGGGCATACACTAGTTTTCCTAGGACCACAGACTTCTCAGTCCTTCCAAGGCAAAACACTATCTCTTTGGGCTCAAAATCCCTAGACCACTTTCACTTTCCACGGCAGCTGAAATGGGGTCGGGGAGGGATGCAAGGTTCAATTTCATGATAGGGGCTTTGGGAGGTCAAGGACTAGCTCACAAATCCAAAAGCCTTCTTGAGGTGAAGACCCCTCACACCCCAAATCCCACAAAACCTTCCAAGGACAAGCCTTCCTCCTCCACACTAGACTCCTCAAACTCCATTCCTAAAAGGCTCTTATTTTCTCTGGAGTTGGGGGATTGAGGGAGAGTATAAGTGGGATAGGAGAGGAAATGTGACTATACTTAGCCAAAGTCAAATCAGCCTGGAAGTGAGGGAGGTGGTGTACCAGGTTGAGCTACAGATAAGTGTGAGCACTCGTGCACGTTGGCGTGACCAGATCCCCCAGCTGAGGATATCCACGAAGCCACAGCTGTGTGAGCAAACACGTGTGCACAAATGTGTATGTGTCCTTTCAAATACTACTGGAAGGGGGTTGGAGTCGGCAGAGCAGGCATCGGTGTACGGGCGTGTGTGAGCGTGTGTGCCCACGGCTCGAGAAGGTTCCCCGGGAGAGTCTCTGAAGAGAGACGTCCGGGCTTTCCGAGCGTGCATCCCTGAGAGCAGGCGAGGATGGAAGAGGTCTGGAGTATGGGCGAGTAGAGAGTGTGCGTCTTGAGTGCCTGCCAGCCCTCCACCCGCCGCCGGTCTCTGGACCAGGGAGACGGGGACCAGAACCCCAACACCCTCCTACCCCCCTTGCGGCGCCTCCGCCCCCTCAAAGTGCTGTCGAAATAAAAAACAGCGGTAGCTGAAGCGCGGGGAGGGAGAGGCGACGGGAGCGAGAGGTAGGGAGGCCAGCGCGGCCAGTGCTCTCCGCTCAAGTCTCTTATCTCCAGGTTGCTGTCGCCTCCATCCCAGCCTGCTCAGATGGGCCACCGAACGAACAAAAGCGGTCCGCCACGTACCACGCGGCCGTTCGGCGCACCGCCCAGGCACTGCTGGTGAACGCCGCCAGCCTGCGCAGGTACGGTGGGCCCACATAACCACTCTTCGAGCGCCCGGCTCCGCTTTGACCCCGTCCGCCCGGGGGCGCAGTCCGCCGCACCTCGTTGGGTAAGTTCCCCGGCCTCTCAGCCTGACCGGGGCCCTTCCAGCTCCCCAGGCTCGACCTATCCGTCTCTCTAATCTCACAGCCAGCCTCGCCCAGTGACCCCTGACACGTGATCCTCCCGGCTTGCCCTACCAGCTGCCCTACCTACCCAGGTCATATAAGTCTAAACTTGAGGGAGTATTTGGGAAGGTGAAAACAGTAAGCCCACCTCGGGCCTCTCGCCTTCCCAATCTCAGACGGAGCCATAGGCCTTGAGTCCTGGTTATTCCCAGAGCCTCGCAAAGCGCCGTCCGGGTCCCCCAGCTGGGGCCATTGTCTCTTGGCCCCCCACCTCCGGGCCGCGGTGGCTGACGTGCCGGAGCCCGGCCGCGGAGCCGCGTCTGCACCTGCCCGCTGGTCCCGTGCGCCGGCTTTGCGCGGCTTAACCCGGCTTGCTGCTGCGCGCGCCCCCGAGCGCCGCGCCCCGCGGCCCTTTATCCTGCGTGGTTGGGGTTCCTGAAGCGGAGAGCGCGGGGTCTTAAAGTCTCCCCCCTGCTCCAAGCCGAAGTCGGAATCCTTTTAGTGGGATTTCAAGCAGAATGGGCCATCGCGGGCTGGGGGATACGCCGCGGGAGGGAGGGGGGTAGATGGCGGTTTGGGTTTGTCTGGACGATTGGCACATAGAATCCTTCTGTGGAAGCCAGGCTTGAACTCTAGGTTGCCCCAACCAGAGGAGAAAGGTCCGGCGTTCAGGGTCCCCGGGTGTGGCGGCCGCTCATTTCCCTGAAAACACGGAAGGAAATTCGTTGTTTTGGAAAAAGCCGGGGTCAGGAATATGTGGCGGTGAGCTCTGGGTCTACGCAGGCACCTCGTGCTGGGATTCGTTTATGAGTAGGCAGGGTTCGAGAAACAGGTAGGCCCAATGCTGCCGCCCAGGCGTCTAGAGAGCGTTTCCCAGCCGGGTTGACAAATTGCAAACAAATTAAGTCTAACGAAACGGATTTACCAGTTGTCGCGCGCCCGGCCGCCGGCTGCTCTGAGTAAACTGGCTATTCGTGGAAGAGGCCCCCTCATCAGGACCCCTTAAGGAAGATGCCCAGCTTGGATGTAGGGTTAGAATGTGGTAAGAAGATATAGGATCTCCGAGGTGCCTCTACCCCAGGCGCTGAGACGTCAGGGCGTTGGGCCCCTGTCCTTACGATTTCAAAGGGGCCCCGAAGATGGATGGGATATGGATGGGATGGGAGAAACAGCATGGAGGCCAGAGGAGAGGGAGCCATAAAATTTGGGGTGCTGGAAGTGAAGCTCAAAGAACAGGAGGGACTGTTAGAGCCCTGGTTTCCCCATTGGGGTACCCCTCTGAAGGGATAGCTGTGACCTGAACAGATCTGAGGCCTTGCCCTAGAGGAGACTCCTGAACCCTTCTGACTAAAGAGGCCCCCACTTCTTCCACAGTACCCCGCAAGGCACATTGCCAGTGTGGGGCTGGGAAGCTGCTGTGGTGCAAATTAAATATCCTTATGGAATGCAGTCCCTAATCAAACGGATTTCTTTGAACCTCCCCTCCCCTACACACACACACACACACACACACACACACACACACCCCTTTCCACTGCCGGCGAATTAGGTGTCCATAGGAAAAGGCGAGAAGAATTAAATTACAAAGAGGGCAAATTTATGGTCCCAGAGGGGCCGCCTCTGATAGGCGAAGTTTAAACAAAGGGCGCAGAAGATAGGGCTACGTGAGGTGGGTAAAACCGCAGCAGCCAAGAGCCAGACCTAGGCCTCGGATCCCTGCGTCCCCAGCTCTCCCGCGAAAACCTCTCTGGCTGCGCCCACCCACACTCCGCCGAGGTAATTTGGATCACGTGGAAAGGCATAAGAAAATTCAGTTTTTGTTCCGCTTTCCCAGTCCTTGGTGAAATCTTGTTCCCATGCAATATCTAAGTGTGATCAAAAGGAATCGGCCCGCATTTCCTACAACTCTTGACAACGAACGAACAACAAAAATAAAAACGGGAGCGTGTCCCTCCGAAGGTGCTCGGAAGACCCCGAAGTCCGAGGCCGCGAACGGAAATAAATCTGCCTCGCTCAAGCCAGGGTTGGCCCCGCAACCCTCGCAGGTCCTGGGGGCTGCCCTCACCCTCCTGAGACGTTTGTTTGGGCAGAAGATGGTCTTCCCTGCCTGGTGAGCGAGGCGCCTCGCTGCTGTCGCTCCGTCTGTCTGCCATAGGCATACACGCACGAGCAGCCCCCCTTTTTTGGTCAGCTGGGCGTCCTGCTGCCTGGCGCCAGCCTTTTCGCTCCCAGGCGGGTTCGTTTCTGCGGGAGAACACAACAATCCCGCGTCCAACGCAGGCTCTCCAATTAATATGGAGGTCTCGGCTACCTACCCGCCTTTCGAGGATGGCAACCCCAGGGCCTCAGGAAACCTGGCGGAGCTCCCCTTTCCTTTTTTTCTTTAGGCCCGGATAGCGAGAAGGGAAGCTAGTGCGGATCTCCTGAGGCCCCTGATCAAGCACCGCTTAACTGCCTTGCTCAGCTCCCCTGCGCGGTGATTTTCTGAGCCGCCGAGCAGGGTAATTAAATCCCTGCCCGCGAACCGTTCTGCGTTAAGCGGGTGGGCAGCCGCTCCGGCAGCGACCCGGCCCGGCTGGTCACCTGCACCCCTGCGGGTGTCCAGGACGCTGCGGGTGTTCAGACTGCTCTGGAGGAGCTTAAAGCAGTGCTCGCTGTGATGAAACTGCTGACCCACCCAACTGGGGAAAATCTGAACCGAGCCTTAGGGCGAAAAGTAGAATTACCTGCTTTCCCGAGCGCTCGGAGCGGCCACCTCCCTGCGAACCGAGGCACCGATCGCCGCCTCGAGGGAAGCGTCTGCTCCGCTCCTGCGTTAATGGCCCCGCGGCCGGCCATGGGGCTGGCGTCCCCTCACGCTGAGTCCGAGGATTCGAACTATAGTGATGCAGTCTTGCCGGACATGGGCGGTTGGTTGTCCCTGGGGTTGCGTTGTCTTTGAGAAGGTCTTGCTAGGTTCCAGGGACACAAAACAGGCTGGAGGTTTCTCGGCGATCGCATTTTAGGCATTGATGAAGAATCGTAAACTACAGATAAGGAGGAGAGACAGACGTACCGAGAGACAGCGGGTCCAAGTCAGACCTCGAGCGTTGCTGGGGGCGCGAACTAAAAGGCACGGAGGCCACTCACCTGCCGGACACGGCCTCGGAAACCCGGTGCCCGCGGCCTCGCTCTCCTACTCCCGACCCCGGTGCGCTTTAGCCGGCGGGAGCTAGCCTCCTGTATCGCGGAGCGGAGTTCCAAGAAGTCTGGGCCCCGCGCGCGCCAGAATGGAGTGGAGCAGAAGGCTCAGTGGCCGGTCTGGGCAGGCGGGTTCCCCAGGGCCGAGACGCACTGGTTCCCAGCCGGATGGGGCTCTGAGCCCTCAGCCCCGCGCCTTTACCTGCGCCACAGCAAGACGCAGAGGAAGGAGGAGACCCCTGGTTTGGGCCCGAGACCCCTTGACGCTGCCCACAGGTAGCCTGAAAAAGAGACAGAGGCACTCGCGTGGATCTGGGTTGGGCCGGGCGTCCCCCGAATCGAGGGAACCGAGGGCTTTCCTCCCTCTCGGATTATTAAAAAGTTCATTTCCTGGCGAATCGGGTGACGTCAGGGGCCCGGCGTCGCGGTGGCGGGGCTGCCCGGCAAAAGAAGCCGCCTCCAGTTACCCAATTACCGATTGTCAATTCCGCTGCCCCTCCCCCCTCCCGGGGGTGTCCCGGACACCGCCCTCCCCCCTGCCACCGACCCACCTGGGAACCCTCTGGGCATCTACCCTAAGAACCGTGGACGAAGCGAGAGAAGAGGGGCTGGAGGACCTTGATTTCTCCCCATTACCCCCTCACTTAAGTCCCCCAAAATTTCTTTGTTCCCGACCCCCCTCTTCTGCCGTAGGCTCCCTTCGAGCCTTGGTCTTCTCTGTACAGTGGGAGAGAGCCAGGAGATTTGTGCACCGGGCTCACTCGACCAAGGGGCCCGAGCTAAATCTCTGGACTGGAGGTGTTGTGGGGGCAGTTCCAGGTGACGTAGGGGACGGAGTTATCCCTCTCCCTAGGGGCCGCCTTTGGGACCCCCAGGAAGAAAAATCCTTCTCCAGCCCAGAGGCGCCTCTTTCGAGCCAGCGCCGGCGCCAGTTCGGGTCTCCACGGCCTCGCCTCTAGCAGTTCGGCCTGTTGGTCTTCGAAGACCACGCCCGGGAAGGGGACGCCCCCTCCCCTTCTCTGGAGCCGTAGGCCAGGCTACTTCCATCGAGTAAAGCACAGTCCTAAGTGGCCTCGTATACGAGGCCCAGGTGCCCATTGGGATCCCACAATTCATATTCATGTCCCTCACCGCTTCTGCTGTCCGGTAGCTGTCCTCCCCCAACGCCCCCACCCACGCCGCCTCCGCCCGCCCCAGCGCCCAAGTTGGGGGAAGGAACGATCTGGGTAGGTAGTTGGGACTTATACTGGCCACGTTCGGTGGTAAAGGAGGTGGAATCCAAGAGAGTGGAAAGGCTAGAGTCCTGGGGAGTGCGACACCCGGACACCCAGACACCCAGAGTGTGCACCGCACGGGCTCCTGCGGAGGGGGCCCCACTTGGAGGTTAGTCACTGAGAGGAAGTCCCAGAGGTTAGGGGGATTCGGGAATGTCCTCACGAGGGGCGCAGCGGTCAGCCTGCGAGATGAGGGTCCTGGAGGGGGTGGGGCTGCAGGGAGGGCGCTGGGTGGAGACCTAAGGAAGGAGGAGGCCTGCCCGCGGGTCAGTTGGGGAGTCCGGCAGGCCGGGAGTTGAAGGCATAGCCAATGGGGGGCGGAGGCTGGGCGGCGTGCGGCGATGATTGGTTGGCGTGGGCTTCTTAGGCGTGCGCGGCCCCCGCTTCATGTCTGTGCAGGAGTCGGGAGCTGGCGCCAGGGCGGCCGGAGGATGCAAAGGGGCCAGAGCCGGGTGGGCCTGAGGCCGAGGCTCGCGCTGTCCCCTGCTCCTACAAAGTAAGCCACGCCAGCCGCCTGACGCTGTGCCTCTGGGCCCTTCAACTCCGGGGCTCCCGCGGTGCTGCCCCTCCCCCCCCAGAGGCCGCTTCCCTCTCCCGGTGGTGCTGCGTGTGTAAGTTTGGGGTGCGAAAGCTGGCCGGGGGTTTGGGGCGCGCCAAGCTCTGAGAGGTCTCTGTGGGGGCTCAAAGCCAGGGCAGGGCTGAGGGTGACTGCTTTGGTGTTCCCTGGTGAGAGGCGCAGATTGTGATGCATGGGAGTGCTCAAGGGGGGTGGGGTGGGGGAGGGCTGGCTCTCCGCTGGTAGGGCTGTTTGTAGGTGTTGGGGGTGGGGGGCAAAGTCAATAGATGTATCTGGCGCCAAGTGTAGGTGTGTGCGTGTCGCTGGGATCAGGTGTCCTAGTGGATGCCCGGGAGCCTATCTCCAACTTTTAGTTTGTTTCTGTGTTTGTGTACCGGGAAGGTGGGGGTTCAGTGTGAGTCTTTCTAAAGTGCGACTGTGTGTGCGTTTGTTGGAGAACTAGTGTCACACACGGGTCTCGTCCTCGTGTGTGACCCCGTGTGCACGGGTGTGTGGTTCTGGGACCAGAGGTCACCATGTGAGTGTGCGGGGTATCCTCTCTCTACCACGCCTTTCTTTCATTTTGAGCTTAGAGCTTTCCTCCCACCCGAGGCTGGTCCGTGGCTGAGGTCCGCTCGGTGAGCAGCGCACTGGACACCGCATGACGGGACTTTGGGGGTGTCGGGCTATGGCTGCGTCCCTCATATCCCCTCCCATCATGCAGGGCCTTTGCCGCCTCCGCCCCGAACCCGAGCCTCCGTCACCCACTATGGAGGTGGCGCCGGAGCAGCCGCGCTGGATGGCGCACCCGGCAGTATTGAATGCGGCGCAGCACCCCGACTCGCACCACCCGGGCCTTGCGCACAACTACATGGAGCCCGCGCAGCTGCTGCCTCCTGACGAAGTGGACGTCTTTTTCAACCACCTCGATACTCAGGGCAACCCCTACTACGCCAACCCGGCCCACGCACGGGCGCGCGTCTCCTACAGTCCCGCTCATGGTGAGCCCTCGGCGGGTGGGTGACTGGGAGCTCTGGCGCCTTGCGCCAGGCGCGGAAGGGGAGGAGGGCCCTGCAGCGTTATTCCCGGATGTGGGATCCACAGGAATCCGAGCAACTGAGAAATCGGGGTTGGAAAGGTGGAAGCAGCGGCCTCTTGGGTCCCACAGGGTTCTGCCCATTTCCAGCTGGCCCGTGGGAGTTCTCTGTAGGCCTTGTCTAGTGGTATTCCTTCTGTGCCACTTGTCCTTCAGATCCGGACTGCAATTCCTGACTTTTGCCAGTTGTTACATTTCTGGTTTTCTTTGGAGTTGAGGTTACTGCTGATGGTTTTGTGTGTTGTGGTCCCGTGTATCCGGGTCCTGGCTGGGCCCACACCCTCTGTATCCTAACCCCTCTCCCTCTTCCCTCAGCCCGCCTGACCGGAGGCCAGATGTGCCGTCCACACTTGTTGCACAGCCCGGGGTTGCCGTGGCTGGACGGGGGTAAAGCAGCCCTCTCCGCAGCTGCAGCACACCACCATAACCCCTGGACCGTGAGCCCCTTCTCCAAGACACCGCTGCACCCCTCGGCTGCTGGAGGCCATGGAGGCCCCCTCTCCGTGTACCCAGGGGCGGGGGGCGGGAGTGGGGGAGGCAATGGGGGTTCCGTGGCCTCCCTCACCCCCACTGCAGCCCACTCTAGCTCCCACCTTTTCGGCTTCCCACCCACGCCGCCCAAGGAACTGTCTCCTGACCCCAACACCACCGGGGCTGCTTCCCCAGCCTCCTCCTCTGCAGGAGGTAGTGCAACCCGGGGAGAGGACAAGGATGGCATAAAGTACCAAGTGTCACTGGCGGAGAGCATGAAGATGGAAAGCCGCAGCCCTCTGCGCCCAGGCCTCGCTACCATGGGCACCCAGCCTGCCACACACCATCCCATCCCGACTTACCCCTCCTATATGCCAGCTGCCACCCACGATTACAGCAGCGGACTCTTCCATCCTGGAGGATTCCTGGGTGGCCCTGCCTCCAGTTTCACCCCTAAGCAACGAAGCAAGGCACGCTCCTGCTCAGGTAAAAGCAGATGCTAGGGACCTAGTGGATGGTTGGGGTGGTGTAGTGTAGACTGTGGTATGGGAAAGGGGGCACTGTCAATCTCCCAGATCTGGGGGTGGATGAAGTCCATTCTGAGAGTCCCAAGAGATGTCTAAGACCCCAGAATGAAGGAGAAGGACCCTAAAACATTCACCCTTAAGTGTTCCTTGTGGCCCCCAAAGTTCACATTTCTTCCCCATTCTTTACCTTCCCCTCCAAGGCTGGCCACTGCCAGACCAGACCACAGGAGAATTCCCTCTTCCTCTCCCCAAATCTTAAGTGAGAATTCAGTGTGAGAGAATGTAATATGCAGGGGAGAGCAGAGATGTGTACGTGTGTCTGTGAACGTGTGTGCACTACAAAGGCTCCAGATCCTTAAGGAATTTGGTTCTCCAACTCAATCAGTCCAATCTTGGGATTTTAATGGTTCTTGATCTTCTTAGGAGATTTCCCCAAAGCAAAATTCCAGGACCTGTTCATGCTCCCTGCCGCTGGCATGTCCCTTCACTCTCCCTCCCAGAAAGTGGGAGTGAGGGGATGAAACTGTAGGTACCTCTGCCCTTTTGAAGGAGGAACTGGCTGGGGCCAAGTTGGATTTGTCCAAGAATCTAGCTGGCATAGAGCAGAAACCGTGGCTAGTGTGGGGATCCTGTTGTCGATGCATCCTTCCCAATTCTTTTCAGCTGAAGAAAGGAAGATTTTAAAAACTTACTTCTGAGTCCAGGAAACAGCTTTGCTTGCCCATATATATTGACAATTTAGATTAAACTAAATGTGGAAAAATTTTCTGGATAACATGATGCTAAAGCAGCTACCCCTCTTGATCGCTGAAGCTGGCACCTACACCCACCTAGTCTCACCTCAGAGTTCCTGTTCTGCTCAGACCAGCTAGCTTGCCTTTAATTAGTCCTTTCTCCCAAGTTTGTTTACATCCTATTTGAATTCCAGATAGTCTTTTAACAAAAACAAAACAAAAACAAAAAGCCAACAACAGCACCAAAATAACAAGCCTAAAAACAAAAGGGCTTATTAATTATTTTATTTTAAAGAACGACTTTGATCTGAGTCCTGGACTGAAATGTAGGGCCTCAGAGGAAGAGGGGATTTGGGGGAAAGAAGGACATTACCGTGGACTGAGAGCAGAATGACCATAAAAACTGAGGGCATAGACGTGGAGCAGAGACTAGGTAGATGACCACGGACATAGTTGGGGGGATAAGGGAAACAAAAGAGAACTAGAAAGGGGGCTGGAGTCCTCCCAGGCCTGCCAGGTCAAGCTGTGTGATTCCAGTCACAGTCATTGACAAAGTTTGTCATTGGCCATTGACAAAGTTTGTTGTAAATACCTTCTCCTTGTCGCTCTCTTAGAGAACCCTTGGGGACCTAACTGCTCCTCCCTCCAGTCCTCTTTCCCATTCTTCCAGAGAGGATTTTGAAGAGGAAGATTTGGCCTTAAACTACTCTCTAACACACACACACACACACACACACACACACACACCCATGAGGGGAATCCCCTGAGTC